CTTCCGACCTTCCAGATATAGCTGGTTTTTAGGTTTTGAGCCTCTAAAGACTCTAAGGCAATTACATTTTCATTATACCAGGGAGGACAACTAATTAGATCAGTTATGGTACCTTAGCCCAAGTGATGCAATCAGCAACACAATAGCATTAAGCATAGCCTAGAAAATGAAAATTAGTGATAGTTATTAATCTATCACCTTTAACTATGTGAATTAAATCAAAGAATATAATGAAACCATAGTACCAAGTATAGTGATGTATTAATAGTTAAAGAAAAATATTCTTTATAAATCTTTACAGTTGGGGAGAGTAATAAATATAGTATCACTTTTTAAAATAGATGCAATGGAAGTTTATGCTGCCTTGAAAAGTGTATTGTGTATAATTAATAACATTTTAGATAAATTTCTACATCTTATTGTACAGCTATGCTACAGAATATCTTAAAGACATTTATCATTTAGCATCTAATTTATCTTCTTCATACTTCCATGATGGATAAAACAAGTTTCTGTCTTAGGTAATTAAGAAGTCATTATATGACTTGTCTATATAAATTCTACATATATACACAATACAATATGATTGTGTATATGTATTTCAATTGATGCTATGAATACTGCATGCCTTATCAACAAGTAGATCAGAAAGAGAAAATTGATGCTTATAAATTAGCCCCAAATATGGATTGCATTAGAATGTGCTAGGTATAAACTACAATCCCTTATTTGCTTGTCTTAATTGGATACAGTAAAAAATCAAAACATACTGCTGTGCTGCCCATCAACCAATTTCCTTAACTTTATATTCTGAAGTTTTTATGAATTTAAATTGATTTATTAATAGAAAATCCTACAGGCCTTTACTGAATATTTTATTATGCTTTTGTAACTCAAAGTCCTAGGAAAGAGAAGTAGGAGGTTGCCACAGAATTTATTACCTCTTAAAGATCCAAAAGAGGATTTCTTTGCATTCAAAGTTTTGACACTTTTTAAGATTAACTTAAAAAAGTAAATATATTGTTTTTTCTTATATATATAATGAGTTTACATTAAGCCATTTAGTCCATCTTTTAAGTCACTTACATAATGTACATCTAAAATTTGTAAGATGATGTCATGGGAGTCCTATTTAAATTTTTCATGAAGGAATATCATTTTCTTAGGTGTGGATTTAAATGATTTTCTAATATATGATAGACTATCTGTGCAGTATAAATCCAATAAATAAATAATACACATGTACATTCTCCAAATTGGGACCAGTGAGGGATAGTCTTTTAAGATAAAATTTTCCTTTTGAAATATTTATTTGTAGACAAATAAAACTATACACAGTAACTCATGTTACTTTATGACTTTCTGTGTAAGAGATAATACATATATACATGCATTAGACAAATAAATAAAAATTAAGCAAAGATATCTACAAAAGGAGAGCTGAGATTTAAATGTATCAGTGCCATTGAAAGAAAATGGGTTAGGAAAGATAATCTTAAGGCTAAGTGGATGTATTTTAATTTCTGTGTGTTTACTGATTTCTGCTCATTTATTAGATAAAACGCATCTTTACATTTTTTAAATAAAATAATTAGCTAATAGCTAAAATGCTAGCTCATTTTTTAAACATTTATAAGAGAAAAGTTAATTTCAGACCTGATCCTGACTGTTATACCAATATCATAAACTCTCCACATAGTATTGACTTAATAAATATTTGTAAAAATATAATGTTAGTGAACGATTCATTTATAATATAAGTTAAATTTTCTGCTTAAATGGGTTGTTTGGTTTTTTTTGGTGTTTACCACATACTTATTTTTTCAGTAATTGCATTGTTGGATTCACTAAACTTTGTCTTACTGGTACCGGGGTTCAAACTTGGGTCCTTGATCTTGCAAGGCAAAGCCAGAACCACTAAGCTGAATCCCAACTCTTAAACTTTGTCATTCTTCATAAAAATTATGATAGACCTGGAAGTGAGAACTACAAGAGATTTGGTTTTAAAAATTACTCCTCAGGTTGGTAGAATGAGGTGGGCATTGTCAAATTTTGCAACCACATATCTAGCCCAAGGGTCACAAAATCATGGAAAGAATCAAGTTCATGAACTGAGGTACCAGTCTACTAAGTTCATCTTCTACTGGAAGAGTCAAGAGGTACAACTGTGACACGGGCTGTGTAACATCAACCACAGCTTTAATACTGCAAACCCAGAGCAAATTTTGTTTGATTTTTTTTTTATTGAGTTTATTGGTACATTTAGGGATACAGTACAGTTACATTCATTGTTGGGATCATGTACCTTTACATGGCAAGTCTTGATTCTCATTTTTTCCCCTTACCTCTGCCCTCCCTTCACCCCCTCCTCCCCTCCCCATCTACAAACACTTTATTTTCATCTTTTCATTCTCTCACATTTTTTTTTTAAGATCAATGTGCTACTGTTTGAATGTTCTCATGACCACTCATGTTGATGTTTCCTCCCAGAGATAAAGAATTCCAAAGTGACCTGAGGTAGGAACTATCAGAGAGGACTGGGTCAGGGATGGATTGTGTGGTGAGCGGATCAGTTATGATAGCCGGCTTGGCTGTCTGTTGTGTGCTGCCCTCTTCCTGTTGGAAGCTGAGTGGGATTGGGGCTCTACTGTCTCCTCCAGAACACAGACTCAGTAAGTGCAGAGCAGGACCGTGGGCCTGATAGCTTCTGGAATGGAATGGTGAACTGACCAGTCCTTCCTCTTTGTAAGCTCCTCAGGGGCATGTTCAGTTATAACAGAGTAGATAAGAGGCCCTACAGAATAACTAAAGCACGGGGAAAAATAAAGTTGTAGAAATCTATTTGTTTCTTCCACTTTTTTTAGAAGGAAAAAACAAAGCACCACTAATCAGGTGCCTCTCCTCTAGAGATGTCAGTTTCCCTGGGTCCTTCCTAGGGACCACATTCTTAATTGCTCCTGATTCCTAAGGCACACACTTAAGGCATGGTTACCTGCAGGCTGCTCCCAGGTTCTCCTGTGTCAATTTAAGTTGTTTACCATTTGCCTATGGAGTATTCACTTTCCAACTCTGCATTCTCCTTGACACCATTTCTCTTTTTCCTCAGGTTGGTAAATTAAGGTATAAGATAAAACTAATGGCTTTCATTTCATTCAGTTAATCTTTAGAGGAGTGCATTAATCTGTATCTGTCTGTGCAAGAAAGAGACACAAAAGAGAGTGATTATCAGTGGAGATCAGGCTTGATTATTATGAGTGCTTGATGCAGAGCATTTAATCATTTTCTCTTGTATTTTTAGTATGTGTAAAGGAGTAATATCTCTTTTCTTATTTAGGCACAGTAAAATGCATGCCATTACCATTGTTAAGTCTTATGCACGCACAGAAAAATAAAAAGCAAACAAAGCAAGAGTCAAACATTTCCAAGTCTATAAAATGAGCTGTGGAGGAGCTGCATTCATCAAATATCTGAGAATAGTAATAAAAGCATTAACCTGGGGATCTTATCCTTGCTTTATATTTGCTCTGAAAAAATTCCACATGAATTCATAATTTAATTTCATACAGGGATACAATAAGAAAAACTATACGCACAGATTTGCATTAAATGTTGAGGAAATCCTGTCTTGCTCCTGAGGCATCATGCAGCTACTTCTGTGAAGACCACACAATCTAACATCAGATGCAACCTCTCCTGGTGCTTTCTGATTTTCTGTTGTCAGAACATTGCCTGAAAAAGCATCACTCAAGTTTCCCTAAATTTTACTTTTGAAAGCACTAAAAGTTTCCTCTTTTATGTCTTTCTCTCTGTTGGACCAAACTGGTTCCACATAATCAGATCCGACCTCCAAACAAGAATTTCTCTGTCACTGATCTTTGAAGAGTAAATAAAGTAGAAAAATTCAGGCAGTCACAGACCATTATCAGGGGTGCTTTGTTGTATCACATAGCAGGTAATGGTCTGAGATATCTGTGGACCCTAGTATTAATGTAGAGATAAATTTAACCTCATAACAGATTATGTGGCTGTAAATATGAATACTCTGAGGTTGTTTTTCCCAAATTTTACACAACTTTATGTATCTTATACTGTGTAAAACAATTTTTCCCACTCGTTAGTTCCTTGAATTTTTGAAGTTTTTCCAAGAACTTGGTCTAATGGTAAATTCTTTCTGCTTCTTTCAGCAAATATTCTTTCCAAGTGAAGGAGAAGTTATAGATCATAATTAGAGATGAGCTCATTTATTTCACTGTGATAATGAATTTACCTTCCTTCCTGCTCATTACCTCTTCTGGTGATAAACAGGCATCATTTTTGGATATGGACCATCAAATTGCTATTTCTAACTGAAGGTTAAAAATGGTCTTGGGACTAATCATTTGTCTTATATTTAACCTTAAAAGGGAACAGCAAAAACTACAGTTATGTCCAGAAAGCATTGCACTGCTGTGCTGTTCGTAGTTAATGTCCATTAAGTTAGAGTCTATACTCTATAGAACACAAATGTTCATGAGGTTTATTGTATTTTATATCATATGTATATAATATGCACACATATATGCACACAAAATTTTTGAGTATAGATGGAAGAATAAGTATAACATAACTTCACACACAAATGCTCATGGTTTAACTCCACTAGGCATATTTTGTGTCTCTAAACAATTAGGCAGAATATAAAATTTTCCATTGTTATTTCATAGAAGAATATTTTTTCATTATATTGCTAGTGTTTTCCTAGGAATGCAGTTTGCAAAATGCTTTCCAGAAAAGTTTGTACACTGAGTTCTACAGTTGAGAATGTATTTGAAAAGCATGAGGAACACTTTGGGATTTCTGTGAGTCTCCCCCAGTAATGTCAATCTCTTTTCCAGTATCTTCTCTCTCCTTGTAAGTGTGTAAGAAACTTTTCCTTTTAGAAGTACTCATTTATATAAACATTTCTAATGTATTTATTGGTTTTAAATTTTCCCAGAGTTACAAGTCATCTGGACAGAATTATGGAAAGGCTCAACATTACAGTTGTGACAGAATTTATTCTGTTGGGATTGACCAGTCGTTGGGAATTGCAAGTGCTCTTTTTCATCCTGTTTCTGGTGGTCTACATTGTCACAATGCTGGGCAATATTGCCATGATCGTGTTAATTTGGGTCAGCCCCCAGCTCAGCAGCCCCATGTACTTTTTCCTGAGCCATCTGTCATTTATTGATGTCTGTTTTTCATCCAATGTCACCCCTAAAATGCTGGAAAACCTACTGTCAGAGACAAAAACAATTTCGTACGCTGGTTGTTTAGTGCAGTGTTTCTTCTTCATTGCCCTTGTCCATGTCGAGATCTTCATTCTTTCTGTGATGGCCTTTGATAGATACATGGCAATCGGGAAGCCTCTGCTGTATGGAAGCAAAATGTCCAGGGCTGTCTGCATGCGGCTCATTTCCTTCCCCTATGTCTATGGCTTTCTCACTAGTCTGGCAGCAACATTATGGACTTATGGCTTGTATTTCTGTGGGAAAATCGAGATCAACCACTTCTACTGTGCAGATCCACCTCTCATCAAAATGGCCTGTGCTGGGACCTTTGTGAAAGAATATACAATGCTCTTTCTTGCAGGCATTAACTTTACTTATTCTCTGAGTGTAGTAATCATCTCCTATCTTTTCATTCTCATTGCCATTCTAAGAATGCGGTCAGCAGAAGGGAGGCGGAAGGCCTTTTCCACCTGTGGGTCCCACCTGACAGCTGTCAGCATATTTTATGGTACCCTGATCTTCATGTATCTCCGACGACCCACTGAGGAGTCAGTGGAGCAGGGCAAGATGGTGGCTGTCTTCTACACCACGGTGATCCCCATGTTGAACCCCGTGATCTACAGTCTGAGGAACAAGGATGTGAAAGAAGCCATGAACAAAGCCAACAGTAGGATATTTTTAACTAAATGAAAATTCGTTAGGGCAGCGGAAGATACTTTCTCAGATAGCCTCGAGCAAATGTGTAACTTGTATTTACAATGAGAGACAAATATAATATGTAACTGAACAGGGAATAGTGGTACAGAATGGAAGTAGAAATAAACAGTGCTCTGAATCATGGACAGTGACAGTGACAACATGTTCATGTCATCTAAAGAATCTCTCATCTATGTATCATCAATTTAGTAGTTTGATTTGTAATTGGAGGAGTCTTTTTATGCCAGCCTGATATTTCAGAAGAAGCCTATTGTTTAAACCCTGCTTTTAAAGAGCTGTTAGAGTCTCTGTGGTGTCTTCTTTCAACTAGCAGATGATTTGTTTCAAAATTATGCAGTATGTTGCTGTTTCAAAATGTTTAAATTGAGGAAAGCGTCACCATGAATTACAGTGGTGCCTTGGCTACCCAACTTTATTTCTTCCATGATTCTGGGGAAGATGTCCTTGCTCATGAAGGTCACCAGATATGAAATTCACAAGTGGAAAAAAAATCGATCAAATTGTTTGCTGGAAGAAACTTTCATGAACCAAGGTATTACTACGCTTTTATTTTTGGAGATGATATTGCTGACATATTTGTGTAAAGTATATTATAAGCCACAAGCTTCATTAATTAACTTTATGGTACATGAGTCTTCACTTTCAAACATACACTAATTTATTCCATAGAATTAATTCAAAAAGAACTTGCTATCCTTAATGTCTACTTAAGGTGGCATATTCATGTCTTCCATTTTAAAGCGAGTAACAGAAGATGATAACACCGCTTTCTTGGTAGTTTGGAATTTTACATGGGCTTCAATAGGTGGATTTCAGGAAGTTATTCAGAATATTTTGAAGAAATGTGGAAATATATTTACTGTTTATTATTTTTGGTTATATTGTACATTTGGGGGTATGGTGGTAAGAGGAACAAACTGTACTATGCAGTGTTCCTAGCACATTCCCTTTTTCCATGTCTGTCCTTGTAATGAATGGACGACTATTCATACACAAAGAGAGTTTCCTGTCCTTTGCTATTTTGCCACATTGTTACCTGAGTTTCAAATTTGGTTCTGAAAATAAAAACTGTTTTGTTATACAGATAATAGGCTTCGATGACAAAATCTACATTTTCTTGTTATGATAAAAGTTTTCATTTTTCACTAAGCAATAAATTTATGAAGGACATTTAAAACGTAAATGTGGCCATTCACAAAGCAACCAAAGTTAGGCACTTACAAATATACACAGTTACAAATATTTTTGCGTAGATATCTATGGGTGCTCGTGCATTTGTGTGTACATTGTATAGCTAGCTGCATAGCTCTTTAGGATTAGCTGACTTGAGCAACATTCTACAGGACTTCCTCTTTGGGAGTTTTCCTCAGTATCAAACTAGTCTCCCAAGAATAATATTGGTTCCACTGTAGCGTGTTTTGCCCACCACATTAGTACACCTTAACATATTGCATGCTTCCTTAGTGTGCTGTCTTATTCTCCCTCCATCACATGTAAATTTCCTACTCCAAATTGCCTACTTCACCAACGTCCCTTCTTTCTCTGTTTTGCAGTATTCTCATCAGAGACTCTATAGCTCAGTCAGGTTGAAATGTAGAATTTTTTTTTTGTAATATAAATAAACCCAGGAACTAATAAAGTTAAATGTAATGAGATATTCCTTGGGCATTTTAATTATTTAAAGTATGTTCATTACTATTTTTCATTTTTCTGCTGGATAATTCATATTTTTGAAATAAAATAGTCACCTGAAATCTAAAGTGCTAGCTCATTTTATTTAACATTTATAAGAGGAAGGTCACTCAGGCTTGATCCTGAGTGCAATACCAATATCATAAGCCCTCCACATATTATTGGCTTAATATTAACAAATATTTATTAACAGTGGACAATTCATTAATAATATAAGCCGCATTTTCTGTTTAAAGTGTTTGCTTATTTTTCATGGTGTTTATAACACAATTATATTAAGCAAAATTATTGAGTTGGAATTACTAAACTTTGTCTTTCCTCATGCTAGAACAGGTCCTCTGTCAAAGACAGGTGTGAGAAAGAGACCATGTAGCCTATGTAGTCTCTATGTAGACTCAAAATCCAATTTCACTTTCCTTTTACACTGGGGGATTTAGTTCAGTGGTTCCACTGCCTACCTCACAAGTGCGAGGACCTGAGTTCGATCCCCACACTAAAACAAAACAAAAGAAAAAAATTTCATTTCCCTTTTGATTGAATAATAAAACCAAACAAATCTGTTGCTGTATTTCTCAGTTTCCTTTGCAGTTTTTTGTCCACTTGCTGACATTTCCCTAAAGGCATGCTTGTGAGTAGAAGGTTTATACTGCTTCTGAGCCAGGACGGAACTGTCTCCCAGAATTCATCCAATGTGTTATCTCTTATTTTTCATCTATGCATCAGATGCAAACAGGGCTTGTGAGGGCCTCAAGGGTCAGTGGGGAGTCACGGATTGCAGTCTTCTGCAGCACAGTCAATCTCTGGGCCATCCGCAAATGAGCAGTATTGATTTCAGCATTGATGAGGACTAAGACTAAGCACCAATCACCCACCTAAGCATTATGTTTCTGAAATTGTCCTAGTCATCAGTGTTGTTTAAATTCTTATGAACTGACCATATAATCATTTACAGAAAGTTTGTAAATTGTTTGAGCCCATAATCCGGAACTGATTTTCATAAAAATTAACCCAAATCATCTTATCATCTATTTAAATACTAGTTTTAAAATGCCAGTAATGGAATACATAAAATGGTTTTGTTTATGCTACTCTTGGTCTCTTTTTCAGCTTTCTAACATGTTGTTTTATTCATTCAGTCTCCTACCTGGCACACTTTTGAGTGCTGATTGTGTAATGGGGCTTTTTTATTTCATTCTTATTAAAGAATGAAATAGGAAAAGTTTGTTTTCAGAAGACTTATGTTACAGTAGTGTGAGACATACATAATCAATTAGCCTAACTATGACTTCCATCATGTTGCATTTTACACTGTCTTTTGGCAAAACTTTGAGAACACAATGTAAAGTAAATGATGAAATGTGTGCATCTGGCTTATGCATATGTGTTGGTTACACTCCATTGTCAGTTACACTGACAAAGATTCCCACATTTTTCTGGCTCTATGAAGAATATGTTTTTGAGTGAGAAGTTGGTGTGGACCAGAGGGGCTCTGATTCAGGCAGCTTGAGGCAGGGCCCCACTCTGTTCCCAGATGTTTGAGCCAACAGACCCCCAAAATACCTGCATGGAAAAGAGCTGCAAAGGCCCACATCCAGAGGCCTGCCCCAATACCAGTGATATGTGCCCTCATCCCCTAGCCAGAAGTCCATCCAGACACCAGCAACTGGGATGCACAGCCCCCAGCCAAAGGGCCTCCCAGGCAACAGCTACATAGGAGAGTAGTCCCTAGCCAGACGCACAGCTAGATACCATCCCAAGGGTGCACAGGCCCCAGCCAGAACCCTGCCTGGACAAAAGGACAACACAGGGATCCAGAAGGTCACCACTCTGAATCCAGGAATCGGTGCAGTGGTGAGCAGCAGAGAAAAGGCTGCTTTGGTTTGATGAGAATTTGAAGACCCTGGATGAGCAAACAGTTGCTTCACCAAAGGCACAGCAGGCTGCATCTCTTCAAATGAGAAGACACCTAAACAAGTCTCAAAACCAGAGATCCAGATCACCGAAGGCAACTCCAAAGGGCAATGAGATGGAACAGTCTGGTACTCAACCACCTGGACTCCCTGAACTGGCAAAGAAAGAGGATCTGGAAACAATGAAATCAGAAATAATTTCTCAGATAACAGCAGAAAACGTGTCCATAGTACATGGCATGATTAATAAATCTAGAGCAGACACAGATAAAAAACTAGAGAAGCTGAATAACATGATGGAATTCTAACACAGGAAACAAATGGAATCCCTACAACAGATCCAAATAAGTTTGCAGGAGATTAAAAATTCCATTGAAAGTTTCCCCAGCAGAATGATCCCATATAACGACAGAATTTCAGACATAGAAGACAGGATTGCCATGAGTGACCAGGAAAATAAAATTTCTTAAAAATAGTTAGGGACAATGAGAAAGCAATCGAGAAGCTGCTAGATGATACATGTGCATTCATGTTCATAGCCGCGCAGTTGGTAATAGCTAAATTTTGGAAACAGCCCAGTAGCCCATCAACTAGAGACTGGATTAAGAAAATGTATGTTTTAAAAATTAAATGGAGTACTACTCAGCCATAGAGAATTAGAAATTAGAGACATTTGTAGCTAAATGGATGCTCATTGAAGCAATATTTTAAATGAAATAAATAGAACACACATGTAAATAATGAACAGTTTCTCTGGTGTGAGAAACTGAAAGTGTAAATAAGGATCAAAATGTATAATAGAGAATTTGAAATAGGAGGAAGAGGTGAAAAGGAAAGGGGAAGAGGGAGAGGTAGGGGAAAAGAAGGAGGAGAATGGTAATAACATAAAAAAGAAAAAATAAAAGCCAAGCTTTTGTAACTAGAGAGGATGGAGGGGTGAAGGGAGGGCAGGGGAATGGGGAAAAGGAAGGATCAAGATATATTATGTAACTGTCCAAATCTCCAACAATGAATGTCATCGTATCGTATGCCTGCAATACACAAATAAAAGTAAGTAAAAAAATGAAAGAATCTGTAGGGAACAGGGAAAGGGCATGCTACTGGGACCTCCGCAGGAAGTCCTAGTCTCCTGTGAGCCAGGACAGCACAAGGCCAACTGACTTATTACGCAGCAAGGGTGAAAACAAGGAGACTTGCAGAAGGAGCTGAGCTTTGGGCCTGATCAGTGCTGCTCTGGGAGGCAAAGACAAAAGCCCCCAAACCGGCCACACCTTTCTTCAGTCCATCGGGAGACACACGTGTAACAAATGATTCAGGACAGTGAGTTCAGTACGTGGGTGGAAGCAGATGGAACAGATGAGTGGGGAGGGGGTCAGCGGAGATCCTAGAACAATGAGGAACCACGCAATGCAGGTTTTGTTCCTCCCAGGATGTGTCCGGCTGTGTCATCTTGTCCCGGAGCATCACAGCATCAAGGGACCATTGAGGTCTTGGCTGTGACTGGGGGCCAAAATGAAGCCATGTCTTAAAATGCCATAGCTGTCCTGTGGGCTGGAGAACGAGGCCAAATCAAGTCAAATCCCCCCAAATTATGTAGAAGTGCTCCAGACAAGAGACATTTTTGAATGGGTACCACACATTTTTGAATGGGGTATAATTGCACTGCACATTACTGTGGAAAATTAACTACTGTGCATTTCAAAGTGCTGGAAGAAAGCATTATGTTCATCACAAAGAACTGACAAAGGTCTGAGCAGATCAATGCATTTAACCCAATGCAGACATCAAAGACCAAGCACACATATTGATCATCGCATGACACCCTAATTAGTGTGTTTAAGATTTATGTATTTGTGTCCCAGGTAAAATAATGCCTTGTGATTTAACTGAAGGAGAGAGTCTAGGAAAAGCACTGCAGTGGATTCAAACTGAAAAACAAAATTGATTTCTTTCCACTTCTCCAAGACCACATAGCCTCCATCATGTAGAACAGTCTTCCCTAGGATCAAGAACTGAGACCTGCAGTCACTTTATTTTTAACAGTTACTTCTTTGGCTTTGGAATGAGGTGGGACCTTCACATTCTTCTGTCATGAATCTAGCCCAAGGTTCACAGACAGTGTCACTTTGATCCAGTCTTTGAACCTCTGAAGAACAAAGTTTTCTCTCTGCAAAATGCGGCTAATCATATTCGCCTAGGTAGGTCATTTAACAATTAAATGAGCATAGTATACAGCATTTATTTCACTGTCCATAAATGCATTGTTCTAATCCCGTTTCATTGTTTCTTACATGTGAAATGATGAAGCTGAAAGAGATGTCTGTTATAGCGCAGAATAATAGTGCAGTGCCTCAGTCCACAAACTTGATTCTTTCCAGGATCCTGGTCACAAACCAGATTGGATGAGAACTGAACTAAATTTCCCCACAAGGCCAACATCACACCTAACCACTGAATTTGATTCAGTTCTCATCCAACTCGGTTTGGAATCAGAATCACAGAAAGAATGAAATTCATGAACTGAGGTACCAGTCGACTCAGTTTGTCTTCTCCAGGAAGAGGCAAGAGGTACAACTATGAGTGACACAGCTCAGCCTTGGGACACACGGGCTGTGTAACATCAACCACAGCTTTAATACTGCAAACCCAGAGGAAATTTTTTTTTTGATTTCAAGACCAATGTGCTACTGTTTGAATGTTCTCATGACCATTCATGCTGATATTTATTCCAGGGTCAAAGAATTCTGATAGGTGGGACCTATCAGAGAGGACTGGGTCAGGGATGGATTGTGTGGAGGAGAGCAGATCAGTTATGACAGCCAGCTTGGCTGTCTGTTGTGCACTGTCCTGTTCCTGTTGTGAATTGAGTGGCCTTGAGGCTCTACTGTTCAATTATAACGGAGTAGATAAGAGGCCCTACAGAATAACTAAAACATGGGGAAAAATAAAGTTGTAGAAATCTATTTGTTTTTTTCCAGTTTTTTAGAGGGAAAAAAACAAAGCGCCACTATTCAGTTGCCTCTCCTCCAGAGATGTCAGTTCCCCTGGCTCCTTCCTAGGGGGCACATTCCTAATTGCTCCTGATTCCTAAGACACACACTTAAGGCATGGTTACCTGCAGGCTGCTGTCAGGTTCTCCTGTGCCAATTTAAGTTGTTTACCATTTGCCTATGGAGTATTCACTTTCCAACTGTGCTTTCTCCTTGTACTCAGGTTGGTAAATAAACCTACAAAAGAAAATTGTGCCTTCAATTTCATTCAGTTTAATCTTTATAGGAGTGCATTAATCATTCTATTTAACTGTCTGTGCAAGAAAGACACAAAAGAGAGAGATTTTCAGGGGAGATCAGACTTGATTATTATGAGTGCTTGATGCAGTGCATTTAATCTTTTTCTCTTGTATTTTTAGTATGTGTAAAGGAGTAATATCTCTTTTCTTATTTAGGCACTGTAAAGTGCATGCCATTACCATTGTTAAGTCTTATGCAGGCACAGAAAAATGAAAAGCAAAGCAAAGCAAGTGTCAAATATTTCAAAGTCTATAAAATGAGCCCTGGAGCTGCATTCATCAAATGTCTAAGAATAGTAATGAAAGCATTAACCTGGGGATCTTATCCTTGATTTATATTTGCTCTGAAAAAATTCCACATGAATTCAGAATTTAATTTCATACAGGGATACAGTGAGAGAAAACTATGTGCACAGTTTTGCATTAAATGTTGATGAAATCCTGTCTTGCTCCTGAGGCATCATGCAGCTACTTTGTGAAGACGACACATTCCAACATCAGATGCAACCTCTCCTGGTGCTTTCTGATTTTCCTGTTGTTAGAGCATTGCCTGAAAAAAAATCACTCAAGTTTCCCTAAACTCTCCTTTGAAAGCACTAAAAGTTTCCTCTTTTATGTCTTTCTCTCTGTTGCACCAAAATGGTTCCACATAATCAGATGTGACCTCCATAGAAGAATTTGTCTGCCACGTATCTTTGTAGAGTAAGCAAATTAGAAAAATTCAGGCAATCTCACACCAATATCAGGTGTGATTTGTCATATCACATAGCAGATGTTCATCTGAGATACCTGTGCTCCGTGGGAGGAATTTAGAGAAAAATTTAACTTCATAACACCTTTTTAGCTGTACATAACTGTATTTTGAGGTATTTTATCTCCAATTGTAGATGACTTTATGCATCTTATATTGTTTAAATCTAATTTTCCCACTCATCAATTCCTTGAATTTTCAAGATTTATTCTAAGTAATTCAGTTGCTACGTTCTTTCTGTATCTTTCTGCAAATACTCTTTCCAAGTGAAGGAGAAGTTATAGATCATAATTAGAGATGAGTTCCTTTATTTCACTATAATGAATTTACCTTCCTTCCTGCTCATTGTCTTCTCTGGTGATAAGCAGGGATTATTTATGGATATGGACCATCAAATTGTCATTTTTAACAGAATCTGACTGAAGGTTAAAAAATGGTCCTGGGGCTAAATGACTTGAACACGGTATTTCATCTTAGAAATGTGTGGCGCAAAGGATAGTCTCGTTTCCAAAGGCATTGTCCTACTGTGCTTTTTCTTGTTATTATCCATGGACTTCCAGTCTGTATTCCATAGAAGATGAATGTTCATGGGGTTTATTTTATTCTATCTCATATATATCTTATATAAATGCACACATACATACACAGACATACACATGACATTTTTTAGTTTAGAAGACAGAATAAATGTAACACATAGATCCTCATGGTTCAACTCCACTAGGTATATTTGGTGTCTCCAAGCAATTAGATAGGACATAATGTTTTTCCACTGTTATTTGATGGAAAAATACTTTTCCATTACATCTATTAATATCACAGAATGTGCTGGTGTTTCTGTAGGAATGCAATATGTAGAACGTTTTCTAGATAACATTGTACATTGTGATCCACATTTGATAATGCACTTGCAAAGTTTCCAGGGACACTCAGAATTCTGAGAGTCTCCCAAAAAAGTGTCAGTCCCTTTTCCAATATTTGCTACTTCATTGGAAATCTATAAAATTGTTTCCCTTCTACAAGTATTTATTTCCATCAACTTTTCTAACTTATTTATTGCCTTTCATTCTCCCAGAGTTACAATCATCTGGATGGAATTATGGAAAGGCTCAACCTTACTGTTGTGACAGAATTCATTCTGTTGGGATTGACCAGTCACCGGGAATGGCAAGTGCTCTTCTTCACCCTGTTTCTGGTGGTCTACATTGTCACAATGCTGGGCAATATTGCCATGATCGTGTTAATTCGGGTCAGCCCCCAGCTCAGCAGCCCCATGTACTTTTTCCTGAGCCATCTGTCATTTATTGATGTCTGTTTTTCATCCAACGTCACCCCTAAGATGCTGGAAAATCTGTTGTCAGAGACAAAAACAATTTCATACGCTGGTTGTTTAGTGCAGTGTTTCTTCTTCATTGCCCTTGTCCATGTCGAGATCTTCATTCTTGCTGTGATGGCCTTTGATAGATACATGGCAATCGGGAAGCCTCTGCTGTATGGAAGCAAAATGTCCAGGGCTGTCTGCATGCGGCTCATTTCCTTCCCCTATGTCTATGGCTTTCTCACTAGTCTGGCAGCAACATTATGGACTTATGGCTTGTATTTCTGTGGGAAAATCGAGATCAACCACTTCTACTGTGCAGATCCACCTCTCATCAAAATGGCCTGTGCTGGGACTTTTGTGAAAAAATACACAATGCTCATTCTTGCAGGCATTAATTTGAGTTGCTCTCTGAGTGTAGTAATCATCTCCTATCTTTTCATTCTCATAGCCATTGTAAGAATGCGGTCAGCAGAAGGGAGGCGGAAAGCCTTTTCCACCTGTGGCTCCCACCTGACAGCTGTCAGTACATTTTATGGTACCCTGATCTTCATGTATCTCCGACGACCCACTGAGGAGTCAGTGGAGCAGGGCAAGATGGTGGCTGTCTTCTACTCCACGGTGATCCCCATGTTGAACCCCATGATCTACAGCCTGAGGAACAAGGATGTGAAAGAAGCCATGAACAAAGCCATCAGTAGGATATTTTTAACTAAATGAAAATTCGTTAGGGCAGCGGAAGATACTTTCTCAGATAACTTTGAGGAAACTTGTTTGCATTTTCGGTGAGTAGACAAAGGAAATACATAATTGAACAGGGGATGATGATGCAGCATGGAACCAGACATGAACAGAACTCTGAATCATGAAATCTTTGATGGTGAAAGCACGATGATGTCACCTAAAGATTCTCTCATCCACATATCATCAATTTAGTAGTTTGATTTGTAATTTGAGGAGTCTTTTTATGCCAGCCTGATATTTCATGAGAAGCCTATTGTTTAAACCCTGATTTTAAAGAGCTGTTATAGTTTCTGTGGTCTCTTTTTGCACCTAGTAGATGATTCGTTTTTCAATGATGTAGTACGTTGCTGTTTTAAAATGTTTAAATTGAGAAAAGCTTCACGATGAATTACAGTGGTGACTCTGTTCCCCAACTTTGTTTCTCCCATGATTCTGGGGAAGATGTCCTTGCTCATGGAGGTCACCAGATAGAGAGTTCACAAATGGAAAAAAAAATATCTTCACTTTCAAACGTGCACTAATTTATTCCATAGAATTATTTCGTAAAAAACTTAATGTCCTATGTTACCTACTTAAGATGGCATTCATGTCTTCCATTTTAAAGTGAGCATCAGAAGGCAAATTTTACATGGGCTTCAATAGGCAGATTTCAGGAAGTTACTCATAGTATTTTGAAGAAATGTGGAAATATATTTACTATTTGTTATTTTTGGTTATATGTTACATTTTGGGATGTGGTAGTGATAGGAACAAACTGTACCATTCAAAGTTCCTAGCACATTCACTTGTACCTTATCTGTCCTTAAAATTAATGGATGAATATTCATGTACAATGATTGCCCTGTACTTGGTTGTTTTGCCACATTGTTACCAAAGTTTCAAATTTGGCTCTGAAAATAAAAACTGCTTTGTTGCACGGAGAATGGACTCTGATGCACAAATCCATAACTTTTCCTGTTATAAGAAATATGTTCAGTTTTCATTCAGCAATGCATTTATAAGGCAATGAAAACACAAATGTGGCAGTTCCCAAGGAAATCAAAATTAGGCACTTACACATATGCATAGGTACACAAGCGTGTGTAAATAAATGTATTGGTTCATGGGCATTTGTGTGTGACTGTGTGCATTGTGTAGCTGCACAGCTCTTTAGGATTAGCTGACTTGATCGAATTCTATGGGCGTTCCTCCTTGGGGGTATTCCTCAGTATCGGTAGTACTGCTACCTCGTAGCATATCTTACGGACTATATCAGTATATTGTGTCACATGATATGCTAAGTTAGGGTGCTGTCTTCTGCTTCATGTATATTTGGATCTCCAAACTGTCTACTTCACCAACAGCCCTTTTTACTCTCTTTGCAGTATTCTCCTCAGACTCTGGCTTAGTCAGTTTGAAGTGTAGAAAATTTTCTCACTCTTCTAATATAAATATCCCAGGTCCTAATGAAGATAAATGTAGTGACAATTCCTTGGGCATTTTATCTGTTTAAAATATGTTCATTTTTATTTTTCGGTTTTCTGTTGGATAATTCACATTTATGAAATTAAGTAATTACCTAATATTTCAAGTGCTAGCTCATTTGACTTTAACATTTATGAGAGAAAAGGCCAATAAGACTCGATCCTGATTGCAGACATTCAATGAAGTTGCTCCCTGACTGTAGTAATCTTCTCCTATCTTTTCATTCTCATTGCCATTCTGAGAAAGCGGTCAGCAAGAGGGAGGCAGAAGGCCTTTTCCACCTGTGGGTCCCACCTGACAGCTGTCAGCATATTTTATGGTACCCTGATCATCATGTATCTCCGACAACCCACTGAGGAGTCAGTGGAGAAGCCAAGATGGTGGCTGTCTTCTACTCCACGGTGATCCCCATGTTGAACCCCATGATCTACAGCCTGAGGAACAAGGATGTGAAAGAAGCCATGAACAAAGTAATTAACAGAACTTATTTTAAAAAATAAAGCAACATTGAAATTATTTTGTCTTCTATTATTTATTTAGTAAGACTTTAATGTCAAGTATGTGAGAACATTATGCTAAACTTCTTGCTGGAAGAGAAAGAAGGTGAATTAAATTAAAACAAAAATTTAAAAATCAAGATCAATTACCATGGCCCATTCCTATGGATGATGGCAGGAAATGTTAATTAAAATAAATGAAGTAACTAAAAAGATTATTAACCACAAATTTCATAGATGCACTAATTTTGTTTAATTTTTTGTTTTTCTTTTTCAAAATTGTAGGAGGTATATTTGCGAAACATTCATTTCCCCTTGAAGAAAGGATTTGAGGCAGAAGAAATACAGTATTTAAATTAGTTTCCTAGTACTAGGATATGCAAATTATGGTCCCTCAGAATTTTAAGGTTGTTTAAAGGGTCTTGTTTCTTTCACTGTGAGGAGTAGGTCTGTTCAAAGAGTACTGTTTAGAAAAAAAGTAGCTTTTTAATATTTAATCCCTTTCTTGAACTTTTTTGTAGTGTTCATTAAGAAATATAGCATAGTTTTAGTGACTCCCACTTTTCCAGTTTATCTCATTTCAGGAAGTACAAGGCTGAATAAACAACTTTAAAGTACTTCATTAAAGTATGTGTTCATATAAAAAATAAGTAAATTAATAAACCATTTTATTTTGATAGAGAAAACACACATTTCAAGAAATGTGATTGACATGTACGTATAGTGTCTTGTTTTGCAAGCTATATTTTCTTTATATATTGTGTATTAAGATATAATTCCACAGTGCAAGTGAGATCACCTTCTGATCTTTCTACTTAATATGTAAAAAAGGGCTGAAGCTTTGTGGATAATCAGACATAGAAGAATTCAAAAGAAAATCTCGTCTAAACAAAATATGTCCATAATTTCATAGAAAAAAACTAAGCCAGTATACATTTTAGAGTTTTTGACCAACGTAGATTGTTCTATTTTTAAGTTTTTAGCATTCTAAATGGGATTTAAAAGTGTAGCTTCACGGTTATTTTATGTACATATATTTTTCATCTTCACCATAAAGTTAATAGGAATCACACTGTTAGGCATAGTGAGATGATACGTGTGTACTCTGGGAAAGTGAAGGTGTGCAAATAATGTCTGGTCTTGAGTGGTAGAGTGGTTCATATATAAGAGACACAGGAGAGAGCTTCCATCTTACCCCAAGAAGAATGTCCATCACCTAGGGCTCAAAAGCCAGTAACTTTGGGTAGGTTGTGGGCAAAAAGGAAGCCTTCCATATTGTTGCTGGGAATGTAAACTAGTACAAAAGCTATGGAAGTAAGACTGGAGATTCCTCAAAATATTTACAAATTGAAATTCTATTCCACCCAGCTATTCCTCTTTTGGGCACCCTCTTGAAAGAGTTTAAGACATAATATTACAGTAATACCCATTACTGCTTATATGCCCATAACCAAATGAATAAAAAGGGAAAATGTAGTATTTTTATATACTATTTTATATATTACATTTATATACTGTATTATATAGTAGTCAGCCTTAAAGAAGGATACTTTTGCATCTCTTTTAAGAAAATGGATAATTTTGAGATCATAATGTTTTTTAATGAGTTTATTGGTACATTTTAGGTATACAGTACGGTGACATTTATTATTGGGATCTTGTACCTTTACATGACAGGTTTTGGTTCTCATTTCTTCCCCTTGTCCCTGCCCTCCCTTTGTTAAATGAAATAAGCAATTAGCAGAAGGATAAGTATTCTATGGCTTCTCTTATATGAGAAACTCAAAGTGTGAATAATTTAAAGAGTTAAAGAAAGCTGGTAGGAAGTAGGTGGACTTTGTGAAGATGGAAAAGAGATCTCAAGACAGGGAGAAGTGGAGAGGTTATGTGGAACTAACATAATCTAGACGTGATTATGTGCACTATGGCCAAGGTTAATGTGATTGTTATGTATCGTAAACACACACCAGGAATAAAAAGGAAGTATTGTGGATAGAATCATACTTCTTAAAGGATCTCAGATCATTACAATCACCCTGTAAGATAGCCCTTTCTTCATTGTTTTTAAGTTTTGTGGTATGGGAGCCTGAAACCAGAGCTTTTGCATGGAACTACATTTCCAGGCCTTTTTATTTTGTTTACTTATTTAGTTTCATGAGACAGACTCTCATTGAGCGGTTTCTACAGATGAGAACACAGAGGCTCAGAAGCGTGTACTTGTTCAAGTTCATATAAGGTGGTGGATCCAAGGGTTTGACCTCAGATGTCTGATTATAATCCGAGTCCTTCTTCACATATGACCTCTCCTCCTACTCCCTTCTTCCACATGACTCCAGTTTGTCTGTGTTTTGGCAGCTGATACCTGAGAACAATCACGAGGTGTATGGTCTTTGTAATGTTGATATCTCTCCTCACACATCGTGCTATTTAGAACAGTCACTTAGGAAAAACGAAAGTAACTGACCAACATATTACACTATGCACACTGATAAATTTTAGTGAGATGTATAATTGGCAACGTGTGAATGACAGAATAGTATCTAAGTGACCCTGGGAGATAAATTATGTCATGGAGTCAAGAATATTTTAATAGTTCTTTGTATCAGTAGCCCTTACTTTCTACCCCTGAGATGTTTCTAGAATCTTAGCCATTATTCCTTTCATAATTACTTAGATAGTACCTAAGGGAGAAATTCCCATTTCCCCTGATGCTCTAGACATCATTATAAGTAGTAGAAAAATTACCCCTTCTTTTTCTTTTTTGCTGAAGGTAGGTCTACAGATTTTATATTCTTTGTGATAAAAATCATACAGTCAAATTTTATAATTTTATCCACTACTTTACAAAGAACACTAATGCCTTGTTTATAGACTTGTTTCTTAAGAAACTGTTTTATTTGACTAATGATCTTCACATTCTTATTTTAAAATATACATGAATGATATAAGCACTATTGAGTGAATGAAAATTATAGATCTACTAGTTTATATCTTTACTGTTATTTCTTAAAATTA